ATTTACAAACCTTGTGGTCATACAATGGTACAGCTGAAGAAAATCAAATTACACATTAAGAATATAAATAGTCAAAGAATCATAAGAAGCATATTTGTTACTTTAGCCGACAGAAAATCAACAAACGTTACAGAAGAAAAATAAAAGAATAAAAAGTACAGAGCACGTTACAGCCAGTGACGTGAAGGAGGGAAGAAAATTTTACATATGATAAACCTGTGTATCAGCCTGAACACAGCGCCACCATCTGACTGATCAGTGTCATTATTTTAAATGCACATTTTGCTTCAATCACACTGAACGATTTAAAAACTCTCGCGCCTTGTTACCGGAGTGAATCCATATAAAAAGAAATGTGTTCAGTCTGTCCTGATTGATTTTACAACCACATCTCTGATTAAATGTATAAGTTTGCAGATGCTGTAACAAACTCAGACCTTTAAACTAAAGTCTTGAGACAACACTGCCCCCTGCTGGCGCTGCTGTTGGCAAATGAAGTCTCTTTTGTTTTCATCAACTTTTGAAGGGAGGGATGTTTAAGGCGTCAGCCACAACAACGATCAAACGTTTTCTTATGTTATCCAGCGACCTGATGCTTTTTGACCTTTGCTCTCTGGAAGCTCGATATCTTTGAGTTAAATTTCAAACACAAAACAAGAAAAACTATTTTCTTCTTTCTTTAAAAACTTCTTCCATGAATGAAGCGTGCAGTTTGTTAAGTGATAAAAAAGAAACAAGAAATCGGAAAACTTGGACATGACACACGTGGCTTCGTTCATAGAGAGTTAAAGACGGCTGCTGTCCACCAATCAGAGGACATGAGGGGAAATTGCGATGATCTCCCAGTTCTAAACCAGATTCTGTTTTGGTTGCAGACGACTCAGAGATGAACATGAGACTCAGACCAGACGCTGAGCCGACGTGGGCGGGGAGAACCAAAACTACTTTTCCCATTGGACACAGAGGCTGCGTATAGTTATTACACAGGAAACGTTCCTGCTGAAGTGATGCTGGACATGAAGCTTGAATCCATTTTGAGCAAATTTGACTTTGATCCATGTTGAATCAGATCAATGGCGAATTAATTGATTGGATTTTAAAACACAGTCAAATTACTAAAATAATATTTGGTATAAAATGTGCAGCTATTTGTACTTTTTACTTCTGTCAACGTCACAAAGATCAACAAGGGTAGCTGTAAATGATTTAACAAGGAACCAAATAAAGAAAGAGTTTCGTGGAGCTGGACTGTTTCCTGCGTTTTTGCTCGTCACCGGAATGATTCTTAAGAACATTTTCTAAAATGACCCGTTAGTCTGAGTGAACTAGTTCCCGTAGCAACGCGATCACACAAGAGAGTTGACATTGAATCGTTTGGTAGATCACCAACTGTTAATCAGAAATGAATCACACACTTTGTGAAATGTTTTTGGAGTTTTTTTGCAGAACCAACTTCAGGTTTGACTAAGACACTGAACACAACAATGAACCAAACTAACTAATCAATTTTAATAATCCTGGTCGAGTGTTTGAAAGAAAACCAAACTGATAAAAAGGCAGAAATAAATTTAAAGAATCTGTGTTCGTCCTGAATACTCACTTAAGATGGGAGCAAAATGGCCACTAGGGGGCGCGGTGACATAAAAAAGTCACCGATTTAAAAAAACTCAACAAGGAAGGAAAATGTTCATAAAAATCCATCCTGAACTCGAGATCCACTGAGAGCAGTGGGGACATTCCAGAAACCTTTTGTTTCTTCACCCTCGTCGATCAGTAGCTGCATCTCTCCACAGAGCGATTTGAAAACAGGTGACGTGTGGAGGTGCAGAGATGGTGAGTTCATTGGGTGGAGTGGGAGTTTTTAAGGGTCTGATACATTCCTGGTACTGGGGACGGTACCTGAGACTCCAGTACCACTCGATTTAAAACAATTATTTTGTCCAATTTCTGTGAGCAGTGTATTAATGTCTCTTTTTTGAAATTTAATTCAGTCAGGTCAGATCGTGATCCAACATTTTGGACAAAGACCTCGAATGTGTGTTAATGCTTCACGTTTATTAACGATGTGATTCTACTATTTTAAGGCTTTAAGTATTGCACATTGAGAAAGTTGTTGAAAGATGCAGTGGCCGGATCTCCTGATTTTTAGTTCATAATAAAGGTCAAACACAAAAACCCTGGATCCTACAATTTTAGTAAAGTAAAATGTCTTTCGGTAGACAGAGATTTTTAAGAAAGGTCTGCCAGCCAAGAAATAATAGGAAGGTCTCCTCTCCGAGGCTGGGCGGTACCAAGTACGATGAGTACTCCTTGCGTAAAAATCAGTGGAGAACCCCTTTAACCTGCATCCAAGGCTGACTGGACGGTAGTCAAACAAGTATATATACAGATGGAATGCCCCAAAGACGCATTTGATCACAACAACAAGGTGTTAATGCAACGAGGGGTGGGCAATCTGCACGGGACAAATGATGGAATAACTATCCAAAGGGCAGCATGGTTTGGAAACTTGTGAGATGAGGCATGAAATCAAGCAGAGGAAGAGATGTTTTTCAGTAAAAAAGTAATCCCAGAGGCGAGTTCAGTTGTCCAGGCCACTCTGTGATAGAATTTATAGTTTTAAAGCATGAATTTGAAAGACTTTTCTTACTGAACAACAAATGATGGCATATCACACACATACAAGACACAAATACTAATATAAATCCAGAAGATTCTCAATCTCAGAGAGCGAAAGTCAGAACTGGCTGTTTGGACAATCTGGATTTAGATGAGATCAAATCTAAACTTGACCCTGAGGTCTAGATTTGAAGATTTATGAAAAGTTGCTCCTTGAATTGGACACAGAGCTATTCTGGATCTGTATATGAAGATATCCAGAGTTGGAACTTGGGAAATTTAAATTTGAGAGAAGAAGTCCAGATTTTGAATGGAGGATTGTCCGAATTCAAGCTCTGTGTCTGTATTTGTCTTCAGGACGTTGGTGTTTCATGTTTGGGACAAAGGTAGATCCAAATTTGGAAAACCCTCACCATTGGTTCAAAAGTAGGCCTGGATGTGGGGGGAAGAGCCTGAGCTCTGGATGTGTCAGTAGCAATGTCTCAGTGGAACTAAGGGGAACTGACTGTAGGTTGCTCTGAATTAGAGAACTGTCTTAACGCACCTCTTGTGTGTTCTGTCTTTGGGAGAAGGGTAGTCCAAATTTGAGGGATGGTCAAATCTGTCCTCCCATGACTCAGATTAGGAGCAGACTGGGTCTGGAGGGTCATCTCATCTTGAAACTGTGATGATGGGTTCAAAGATCTTATTGTTGGATAGCATAAATAAAAATGAGAGCTGTTGACATTCTCCGTTTGGACCGAGGTGGTCCAGCTCTCTATTGCAATGTCCAGATTTAGAACTAAGGCAAAACCCAGTATTCCAGTTTTGGGCAGAATTTGGTTAAAGTAGAAGCTTTGTAACTTTGACTCTTGGGTAGTCCCAAATTTGGATTACACCAACATAAAGTGAGCCACTAAAACTCCAGACTTGGAGGAGGTGAAGTGTGGAGGGAAGTGACAGTCTTGGTTTGGACGTTTGGTCCACGTGTGTGTGGATGTGGGCTGAAGACAGTTCAGACTCTTACAAATCGGGTGTGTTGGAAGGAAACCCAGTGTGATCCAGGAATTTATGTTGAGGGATTCAATGTGTGCAGAAAATGATTTATTTTAGGGTCTACGATGGCCTCAATTCAGGAAATGTCCAACAAATTGTCCAACTGTTTGAGGGTATTTGATTTTATAGTCTGGTAAATATTTCTCTGGGTGGAGGATTGTTGACTTGGGTACCAAACTGTGGCTATTGTAAATATGATTCAGCTAAATCTTGCCTGATGCTCTCTGGACAGAAGATGGATGTTAGTGCCTGGAGAAGAGGGGATCTCTGTGCACGTATTTGTCTCCGTCCGTCCGTCCAGTTGATGGATCTGTGGTTTCCGTCTGTGGTTAGCAGCTGCAGCCCTCTTTAGCCGGCTGGCTGTCGGCGTTGAGGCGGCCTCCCTGTGGCGCTGAGGGTTTGTGCTGAACTCCTGACTCAGCGGCGTTCAGGTCCAGACTGCCATCTTGGATGTTCTGGTAGATCCTCTTTGCTGCCTCCAGGAAGGCCTCCTCCACGTTCTCCCCACTAAGGACGAAAAACAGCAGGGACAGACTTGAGGCTGTTTAAATATTTGTATATTTGTGTATTTGGTGAGTAAGTTTAAGCTTCATCATTCCTATGGGATATTTGGAAGCAGAAGAATGTTTAACAAACACTATACAACACCATGGCTCGACTTTACTCTCCCTTTTTAATGGCTTATGTTAGATTTTAGTTTATTTTAGTGTGTATGTACTTACGTCTTCGCGCTGGCCTCTAAAAACAGCAAACCTGACCGACAACAGGAAGCAGACATCAGTCAGTGTGACGTCCAGTTTTAACGTAAAATACATTTAAGCGTATTTCTGCTCACACACTCAGAGGTCTCACCGTTCTCCTCGGCAAACTGTTTGGCCTCCTCATACGTCACGTCTCTCTGAGCTTCGAGATCGGCTTTGTTACCAATCAGAATGATCACCTGAAATGAGTCATGTATCAAACACTGCCAAAGTGAAATCATCTTTGTGGAAAGAAAGAAAGTGAAGTTCGGTCTTTGTCAAACTGATCAATCAACAGATCAATGATTGTTTCAGATGGTGGTGCATCTGACTCACTGTGTTTGGGTTGGTCAGGTTCCTGGCGTCTGTCAACCAGCTGCTCAGGTGATTATAAGTACTTCTCCTGAACACAAACACAATGATGAGTTACAGCACAGATTTACAGATGTGTCCTGATGGTGGCGCTGGATGAAGAGTCGATGGATCATAAACTCCTCTGTATGAAAAAAAAGATGCTGCACAAATGATTTATTAGATTTGCGACTTTTTCCGAAGCTGTTTCCCAGAGTGCACCGCTCTTTTTTAACTGCAAGTTAATTAAGTCTATTTTTGACATTAGCATTTCTCAAATCTGTACATTTGTGAAATATACAAAAATCTGACTTCCCTTATTGTATTTGATAGTAATACTATAATACTACTCATCAATACAATGTATAAAATGTACAAAAGAATTAGAAATGCTGTTAAAACCTATAAATGTCAAATGTTCTATTATATACTCATATTTAACCTGCATTACAGATCTGTGTTTTTTGTATTTTTATATTTGGGTGCAGTTTTCATATAAACCATTACTGGTTTCTACCTCAGCCAACACATGTTTTAACATTCCATATATATGTTGTATTTATGTTGTATGAAATAAACTTAACCAAGTGATAAGAGCTCCCCCATAGTACCTGGTGATGTCATAGACCATGAGGGCGCCGGCGGCCCCTCGGTAGTAAGACCTGGTGACGGCTCTGAACCGCTCCTGACCGGCCGTGTCCCAGATCTGCAGCTTCACCTTCTGACCGTGGACCTCCATGATCCTCGTCCCAAACTCCACGCCAATGGTGTGGGGACAGTCTGCCATGACTACGCACACAGAAACACCAGTTATAGAACAGTCCTGTCTGCGGCCGCAGAAAAACTAAAGCACTCAAGAGAACAAGACTGTACGAGCATCAGATTTGTGTAACGTCAGACACAAGGAGGCGCTGCTGTCATGTTTCGATGGTTGAGATTTAAGCCTGTAATTGTTATTGACTGTGATCCGCTCCTGTTCTTTCAAAATAATAGCAGGTTTATTGACTGTGATCACTTCCTGTTTGCAGTGAACTCAGTGATGAACAGACCGTCACTGGATCTCTGTGATACTGATGGAAACTGAAGATTCACTTGTTCATTCTTGTCAGATTTGAGTCCTTTCTAATTTACAGTAAAATCAAATAAATAATAATAAACTGTTACCAAACTATTTTGATCTTTCAGCTCATCTTTCAAACTCATTTAACAAACTTTTGATGGTTCTAGATTCTCACATATGCAAGTGGCTCTGTTCTCCTCTTTTTCCCTCCTCATGATAACGAATACAAAACAAACTGAGGAGAAGGAGAAGAACTAATGACTCACATTTCTTCTCTGTGAACTGGTGCAGCAGACAAGACTTCCCTACTCCCATATCACCTGAAACAGAGAAACACACAAAGACGACTGTCGTGTCAAACTGTGTGAAAACGACATTACTTCAGATTTGTGCTAACAGGACCTGAAGCTCAGAGTCACAGCAGCAGCTCTGGACAACAACCGTCCGATATCCACAGGTGAACCGACTCAGTCCTGACGCAGGCAAACACTAGTAATACTTCTAATACTAACAGTTGTGAAAACACATACTTTACTTTAGTCAAACTGTCAGAGCAGAACTTTTATTTCAACAGTGTGGTATTAGTATTTTTAGTTAAGTAATGCAAGTACCCTATGACTCAGATACTCACCGATGATGATGTATTTAAAGATGTAGGAGTAGTTGTAAGGTGCGGCTGTCATCTTGATGCTGTGGGGGGAGGAGGAGGAGGAGGAGGGAGGAGGGAGACACACAGGGACAAACAGCTTCTTTAAATCAACAGTGAGAGTTTACACCGAGTCCACACT